CCGACCAGCCAGACACAAGGTGGACCCTCTGTGTGTTTAGTTAGTACATCTTTCATAATTACCCTTGGCTTCATGCAGAGGCATCTTAGAAAGAAATCATGAAGCGACAGCTAGACCTGGTTGTGGGAATGGTAGAGGAGTCATACCTGTAGGCAACATAGAGATTCCTAAGTAGGTTCTGCCAGCCACAGGGAAATTATTATAGCTTGGTTTTTTTTAAAGCTGCCATGACTCCTGAAAGCTGAATGCTGTACATGGGCAGGCCAGGCTGATCAGGCTATCACACTTATGATTTTCACATAAGGATTTTTGCAGTCCAACCTACACTGGAGCAGTGTTCAAAGCTCTTCCTTCAAATTTAAAGCTATGTTCCAACACAGGACATGAGCAGTATTGCATAGCATCCAGGCACTTCCTTAAAGCCAGGATATCCCCATCCTCCTATCATGACTGTATTCCAGAAGATGAATTTTAGGCCACTCAATTACATGATTACAATTCCCACTGACTTCAGCAGGAGTTGTGTGTGCGCAGAAGTGATTTAGTCTGTAACACACTGGAAACCATGTCTTTGCCACCTTGTACAATCAAGGTAGTTGATCAGGCAAACATTCTATTCTTAATGTACAAATATGTAAGTGAGCTCCAAGTTACTTCAAGTTTAACTCCTTAGTGCCAAAAAGAGGGAGTCAGCTCTATGGACAACCCTTGGTAACATCTGAAACAGAACTGATAATTATGAGATTTAACAATATTATACTAATGCATTAAGGCAGGTTACATAACTGCCCTTTTCCTTTAGGATTAATTATTATTTCCTTGTACACTGTAGACGATTCATAATTCCATACACACATATACCTACGAAACAGCAGCACAGTAAAAACTAAATAGACCACTGAACTCCAACATACTTGTAATCAATACATTGCACATACTATACAGCATATTTTAAACCTCATCATTGAGTAAACATATACAATTCAGAACAACATTGACTGTATGTAACACAGAAGCTACCACTGAGATATGGCAATACATTATACACTATTAGCTTTTACTTCACTGAAAAAAAGTTTAGAACTTTAAAATGGTGTTACCTGACCTCTTGAAATCACCAAATAGCCTAATCAGTTGCTAATAAGTAGTGCTTCATATATTAAATTCAGGATAGACAGCACTGGAACTCTGTTTTCAGGGCACTCTGCCTTTTTTATTTTGTGGAATGAACCTCCACAATTTTAAATTTCCTTTGCAACACAGCATATACTTACTACACACTGACTATCTGCTCCCTCTCATCTCAGGGTAAAGGCTTAATAGCTACTTTGAAGTTAGCAGAAATGGTCTAGATTTGTATCAGTAATGACTTAGCCTAGCATACAGGATCATACGTTCCCTCTCACGCATGTATGCATATACATTTATATATACATACATGTGTACGTTTAAAAGAATGGTTCGTAGATTTGAAACCTACAAAACCAGTAAAGTATCCAACAGCCAAAAAAATGCAAATAACCCACTAATTTTAAAACCAGGCTCCTGTGGTCTCATTCTGATTTACCCCTCACCAAACCAGGCAGGAACTAGACTCCAGGAATCACCTCCTGTTTGGTCCAGACTGCAACAGGTTAGATCAGTACTGAACAAAGATGTCTCAGCATATGTAAACTGAAAAATGGAGCCAGGGGGGTCTACACCAGCTGAGACACTCTGTGTGTGTAGCACAGTCACCATTTTTCATGTGTGGTTGAAAAGAAAGGATCAAGTAATCACACAAAAATGTCAGAAAACAACAGTACTTGATGTGTATATCATGAACATAGCAGGGGGGAAAATGAGCATAGGAAGCAAAAAAATGTTCTGGCAGTCAATGATGTGACAGTTTGAGTAAATAGATGCTTATGCAGATGAATAGTATAGACAGGTCTTTCTCCTTGATGGGCTGATTACAGTCATCTCATTGCCCATTCAAGATTCCTCATAATACATATGAAGAAACCTTCCACATTAATAAGGTCAGAATAACACATCTGACCCAGCCCAGCAAGCACGTTTCTGGTTGAAATCAAAGAGAGCTTTTAGCTGCATATGGGTGGCAAAACTGGGCTCTTGAATGGTCCAGTTGTGCTGCATAGTACTTTCTGGCTTGTTCTTTTTTGGCAAGATCCCCAAACAATATCAACAGGGAGTGCATCTCTATCAGGACTTAGAGTTTTGGGCCCTCACAGATGAAATCTTCAGAAGAGCATGGATAGCATATCCCCAAATGCACTTTTTTCTTTTAGTAATTAAGGCAAGATTGTTTACCTGTTCCTACCATAAAGTGCTGTGCTTCTCCAATAGAAAGATCGACAGCTAAACAAAAACATACTTTTCTGACCAGAATTTAACATTTTGCTAGTATTTTTCCCCATTAATGGAGAAACTATATGATTTGTCTATTATTGTTTCTTGTCAGAGGATTTTTTTTGCTTTGCTTTTTCTTTTTCATTTATTTCCAAATGACAATTAGAATAAAACTGACACTAAGCAAATATTTCATAACAATGCTAACAAACTCTAGATAGCTCTATACTTATTCATATATACAGGCACACACACATACACACTTTATTAAAATACAGCAGAGCATTTGCATTGAGTACACCTCTGCATAAGCGAAAAGCCTAGTGTAGCTGGTGTGTGATGCCCTGATTTGAGCAGGGGGTACCAGCAGGAACCCGGTGTTGATGCTCTCAGATGCAACAGAATTTCAACCAGAATCCAAAAAAAGAAACCTAATTTTTACTCCACCCAAAGATTCAGATCACTTTACTATGTTAGAAGGATAGATTAACTCTTTTGACTATATTTAAGCAGCTGAAGGATCACAGGAAGAGTGTGGAAGCAACTAAATCCAGCTAAACAGAAAATTGAAAAAAGCATTTCACACCACACTGCCAATAAATAAGCAAAGATTTTCACATTTCTGTATAGGACACCCACACAGGTGTGGGTTCAAAAATATATTTTCATGTTTCATTTTATGCGTCTGTTACATAAATTTTACTAGGAGAGCTTGTGGAAACCCAAAACAAAGTGTATCAACCACCCCACATCTTGCTTAGTTGTACGTGAAAGCATTCAAGTCCTATCCCTTTTTCCAATGAAAAGATAAACTGGAACTCTTAGGTAAATTTTTGGGGCAGTCTGGATAACATTTAAATGCTGTAAAAAACCTAACTGGCTTAGATCACAGATTTCGCTGAGGATGACTCTAACAGTCCTAACATATGCAGAAGAAAAGGCTACTGAAGGAGGCATCATGACTTTATAACAGCTATATGGTTTTTTTCAAACAAATTTATAATATTCCTGTCCGGAACCACCAATATCATTATGCAAGTGTGCACGGATGTCTTTGTGTCACATACATACATTTAAAGTGTCATTATACTACACACTTAACATTTTTCTTTACAGTACACACATACGTGCACACACATTTTTCCAAGGCATCCTCTCAGCATATAATATCAGCAAGTGTCCTTTTTATTCCACTTCCTAAACTAAAACCAACAAAAATTCTATAATACCCCTGTAGCCCAACCGTTCAATAAACCATTTTGGATTTTCTAAACTCTGATGGGAGATGGTAGCCATTATCATCTGACAGAAAATAGCAAAGGATTGTATGATGCCATTCTCCTCACTCAACCAAAAGTTCTAGTAATATCAACGTAAACTTGACCCTAGTTCTATCCCATAAATCCCTGCAATATCTCAAAAAGCGTATTCCTCTTAAAATGTAATAGCATCTGTTGTTTTGCACAAATGAAATGTTTTGCTTTCCAAAGTTGTGTACCAATGTATTGATGTGTGCAGGAGATATGACTGATTGCATTTTATCCAGTTAGGTGTCATACAGTTCCAATGCTCTCAGTATATAAATCACTAAGTTTTTAATATATTTTTTATATGTGTTTCATTAAAAGTAGGATGATCAGTGATTCTGTTGCTAGAATAGTGCCATTCAGTAGACTTTCAACCTTGCGTTATGCAGTATTATATCTGACAATTTAAAGACTATAAAGTACTGCTATTTGCTAGAATTGAACTACGACATTCTTTACCGCAGAAGTTTTTCACTGATGAAACTGGTACTGATTTTTGTAATCAGTGAAGTGTTCTGTTCATAGCTGCCTTAAAGAGAGGCTTAGACTGTACCTATCTTTTTTTAAGTGCAGTTTCAGTCCTGCAGCAATGAGGTTTCCCTTTGGGGTCCATATTATGACTACTGTTATTTAGTATCTTCATTAATGACATAGATGAAGGGATTGAGTGCACCCTCAGCAAGTCTGCAGATGACACCAAGATGAGTGGTGTTGTTGACACACCTAAAGGACAGGACGTCATTCAGAGTGACCTGGACAAGCTCGAGAAGGGGGCCCATGGGAACCTCATGAGGTTCAACAAGACCATGTGCAAAGTGCTGTACCTGGGTCGGGGCAACACCCAGTATCAACACAGGCTGGGGTATGAGCAGATTGAGAGCAGTCCTACTGAGAAGGACTTGGGGATGCTGATGGATGAGAGGCTGGATATGAACTGACCATATGCACTCACAGCCCAGAAAGCCAAATGTGTCCTGGGCTGCATCCAAAGCAGTGTGGGCAGCAGGTTGAGAGAAGTGATTTTGCCCCTCTATTCTGCTCTGCTGAGACCCCATCTGGAGCACTGCATCCAGCTCTGGGGTCCCCAGCACAGGAGGAACATTGACCTGTTGGAGCAAGTCCAGAAGAGGCCACCAAGCTGATCGGAGGGATGGAGAATCTCTCCTATAAGGAAAGGCTGAGAGAGCTGGGTTTGTTTAGCCTGGCGAAGAGGAGGACTAAGTGTGACCTAATGGCGGCCTTCCAGTACCTGAAGGGAGCCTACAAGAAAGATGGAGAGGGACTTTTTACAAAGGCATGTAGGGACAGGATAAAGAGGTTTCAAACTGACAGCAGGTTTAGATTAGATATTAGGAAAAAGTTCTTTACTGTGAGGGTGATGAGGCACAGGAACATGTTGCCGGGAGAAGCTGTGGATGCCCCATCTCTGAAGTGTTTAAAGCCATGCTGGAGGGTGCTCTGAGCCCTGGTCTAGTGAAAATTGTCCTGCCCATGGCCGGGGTGTTGGAACTAGATGATCTTTAAGGTCCATTCCAACTCAGGCCATTCTATGATTCTGTGATTACAGAGTTAGGCCAGTATCACATTATCTGCTGGCTTGACCTGAGGCAGAGACATTGGAAAACCCTATTTTAAGAATGAAAAGCAAGCAAGATTTAGTCTGTGCTCTGTGCAAGCTACACAGTACATCATGTTTACTGTCCACTTATTATGGTACATAACACATCATGTTTACTGTCCACTGATTATGGTATGTAACACATCATGTTTACTGTCCACTGATTATGTGTTTGTTAAAGCATGACCTTGGATTCACATCACAAAGGCATTTAAACCTGTAGCTCATTGATAAATACGATCGGTTAAACCACCTAAGAGATGAAATGTAGCAGCTTAAAATTTTCGTGCCAGATATACTGCCCTCAGTCTCCCAGTGTAACGCTCACACCATTGGGAATCCCGCTGTGAGCAGGAAGAGGACAATATACATCCCCTTGCAAAAAGTTTCTTGGCACTGTTCATAACCATAGAAGACACATGAATCACATTTGGTACCTCATGGAGAACTTGTAAATGGCCTTCTTTCATCAAACACTGTAAACATGTTTAGTTTTGCTCTTCACATGAAACACAAATGTGATAAGTGATCATAAATGATGAAAACATTTTCCTTATGCCCACCCACTAAAGCCCTAAACACCTCAGTGTGTTACAAGAAGATGAGTGTTTTACAATATAAGTCTTTTAGAATACAATCTTTTTTTTTTTAATGCTAAATAATGCAACAACACATATATCACAGTACTATCAAGTAGTGTCATCTTCACCTTCTCCCAGGGCGTAGTTGAGCTTTATGACTGTGCTGATAAAGTCACCAAGTTCTACAAAATCTGCAGTGATAATATTCACACCACTTTCTCCTGCCTTCTGAGTTCGGACCCACTCCATCATCGCAGGAAGTGCCCTAAGGAGAAAAGAAGAACAATAATTAGTCATAAATCAACGAGACAAATGCATTGAGGCAGGATTTACCAACAGTGACTCCCACTGATCTTACTTGGTTTCTAAGTTTTCTTTGCTACCATGTGAGAAAGGACTCAGGCTTTTTGAAAACTCTTTTTTTTTTTTTTGGAATTTTCATTCTGTGTGGAAATAATATGTTGATCGTATTTCAACTTCTCAGTAGAAAAGAATGGAAGGAAGATCATATAGGCTCAGAGTAATTACTGATTTTACCCAGGGACAAAGGAATGGACCAGATACCTTTTTGTTATCATCTGGCCACATGACTCCATAAGAATTATTTACGGTAAAAGAAATAACAGAGGACTCAAGCCATTTAAAGTATGTTTGACACATTGAAGGAAATGGTGAAAATAATATTTTGAGAGACACTGGAGCAACCATGACTTCTACAGTGTAAGTACAGCATATACCACAATACCTTTTCTTCCACAGTATTGATATCTCAGCCATAAATTATATTTAATCCTACCAACTCTTTTCTAAGATGTCATATTTTTATTATGTCAGGAATACTGGGGTGCAAAAGATGCCTGCCTAACTGGGTTTGTGAATGTACAGAAATTTCTCTGATCTGTGAAAATACAAAATAACAATCAGAAAAATATCTATGGGAAAATAAAAGGCTCCTTAGGCCTGCTGAGGAAGTCAAACAGCAAAATCCAGTTTTCATAAGAAAGAAGTTAAGAGAATTAAAAAAAACCCAAGGTACAGATTTTTCAGAGAAAGGGCATTTTTCAGAGAAAGGGTAATTGACCACTGGAGCAAAATTCCAATGACTCTGACAAACTCTGCAGCACTTTAAGTCCTTAAATCAAGCCCCGATATTATTCCAAAATTATACTCTTGGTCAACCTCAAGCTGCTGAGTTAAATAAAAGAACCTAAGGTCTGGGCAGGGCTGCAGTCAGTTTAGATGAACATTGTGTTCTCCCTTTGCTCTAAGGTCTATAAATATGTGATTGCCCCTCAGTCAGTATGTTGTGCAGCCTTTTTCACAGGGGCAAGGAACATGTAAAATTTTGGCCTGACAATAATTTAAATCAAGCCGAACATGCTGAACCTAAATCTTCTTTCAAAAGCTTTAGATCTAAAGAAAAGAGAACTATTGGCAGACACAGATTGTACTTGTCAGTGGCTACTAGAATCAGTTAGTTTTTAAAACAGGAAAAAAACCCCAAGCAGTTATAATTATATGCCTCTGATTTTACAGGAGAAAGCACAACACTAACATTTTGCTTCATCAAGATGTGCTTGAATCCACCCTAAGATTCACATCTAAGGCCAGGAAAATATTTTATTTCAGTCATTGATTCAGTATGACTGAATGCACACCACCTCATAAAACTGAACTGAAGCATTCTGCTGTTTATGAACCCGGCCAGCACCTTTAGATTTAAGTCTATGCAATCCTGGGGATGTGTACTCTGTGGATCTGTAACAGGCACAGGTTAGGTGTTAAATACTCAGCAATGCTGGGCTGCTTGAAAAGATCTGCAAGCAACAAGAACCAGGACAGATCTCAGCAGAAAAGCATAGACCACCAAGGTGATAAAAGGCGGCTCAGAGCATCTGTAAACTCCACTTCATCTTCACATGTGAGATGTACTGCTGAACTCTGGACAAAGACACAAGGTTGAACTTAAAATATGGCAGTATGTTGCCTTTGTATTTAATACCATCCTATTTAAGCCCAAAGAGTTTGGGGTTTAAAAGTGAACTGATTGATTGTAGGCAGGCACAGATTTTTCCTTCCTTCCCTCTGTATAAGTTGATGACCTTGATATTTTACACCCCCTTGAGGCATAGTTAACTTCTTTTGGTGTCTTTCATTTGTTCTGGAGCTATTTCTGATGTAATTCTGCCTTCAGACCATAGAGTTTGCTGTCCATACACCTACCCATACTGATCAAAATACCGTTTCCTTTTCCTAATGTATTCTTATTAAGCCAACCTTCAACAAAGTCATGCCTCCTTTTGATTAGTGCCTTATCTTAAACTCAGTCTGCCCTGACATTTCATCTGCAGTTAGGCTTGACAGTTGAATGGATTATTTCTCTTTTATTGATATTTCACACAGGACACAGTTGCATGACCCCTTGCTCATATGCATATTGTTAGATAAAGTAATGGAAATCTTTTGTTCATGAGACTAGAGAGCATTTAAAGATAAGTCAGAAATGAATCACATTATCAAACAAAAAGCTTATTTGCACAGCAAAGCCAAATAACACAATCTTGTACAAAAATACAACTGAAGAAAAGTTTTCACTGACCCAAAAGACTTGATCTAGGCTATGTGACTCTGTTTATGACAGAAATTAATACAAAAACCCGTACAGGTCATCTTTCTCCTATAGTGCCATCTTGAAAGTGGATTACACCAATCACTGTAAGAAACTACATGTTGTTCAGTTTCAGTACAAATATCTCACATGCTCACAATTATTATTAGAATAAGCCTGACTTAACATTCCTCAGGGTGGTAGCAGTAAAAACCTTGTTCACCGCTTACTTTTCATTTCCAAATTGTGCCGCAAACTAGTGATTGCTCTCACCGAGGGTTTTAGTCAGGTGAACAAACCACCTACATAACTGTGCTCATAGAAACCCAGCATGTGCCATGGTCTTCATAGATGTTCTTGTGCTGTGCTCTGTCAGACACAGGGGAAGCTTCTAGAAACTTCTCACAGAAGCCACCTCTGCAGCACCCCCTGCTACCAAAACCTTGCCATGCAAACCCAATCCATCTTGCAACGTTGATAAGAAATTATTTTACACGTGAGCATATATGCCCAAGCCCCTCAGTCTGCCTACCCTGACAGCATCACTGCTTCTGTGTTAGGCAGATCCCGGCTCTCCTGCAGAGGATGTCCATGCTTTAGGATTTCACTGCAGCTCTGGCAACAATGTGGCACCAGTCTAGGTTCAGATCCAAGCTTGCAAGGACTGAGGAGAGACCAACCATTTGAGCACAGACTACACTTTTAGATGCTCAAGGTTTGTAATCTCTGCTGTTACCCCAATAACTACAGAGGCGTAGTCATACATTCAAAGTCCATTGTGTTAGTGTAATGATTTTTCCTAAAAAAAACAGTGTCATGCTTGTAATAGTGACAGCAATGCCACCATTGAAGTTGCATGCAGGACAGGCTCTGGCTCCCCTGAGGACAGCCTCAAGCCTTTCAGTCCTCCAGTGACTCAGTTGCCTCTGCTGTAAATTATACAGAGGAAACTGGATGAGTTGATCAGGAGTCCTGTTGTGGGGTATCAGCATCTCGAGTAAATACTCTGAAGGCCACAGGAGATGAAAAGTCTTACCTTAACATGCTACAAACTAAGAGCCAGGCAGCAGGAAAAACTGACAGATGCAGAATACCTGCAGCCCTTTAAACTTACTGAGTCTGCTGCCTTCCACAGCTGGTCCAGTCCAGCCCTTATACCCACAATCCCAGTTCTCAAAAGGAATAATTTCTAATTCCTAAGGGTTTCAAAGCCATGTGTAACCCTGAGGCACATGCACAGAAGAGTGCTGCTTGTCTTAGCCTAGAGCCAGGGTGGAGGTATTAGGGGTGCTCCTTAGCAAGACCTGTGCCAGGAGAAAGAGAGGAGTCTTTTCCTCTCACCCTACTACCTGGGGCACTGTTTTTATCCTGCTGAAGCTCCACTGTCCTGGGTTTGAGTGGGCCAGATCTGACCCTGCCAGGCAGTGCAGCACTGTCCCACAAACCAGTATCTAAAATCAACTCCCTTTTCCACATCCCTGGCAGAAGTGGAGGAGCTAGTGGCACTAGTAGTGTAGGAAGGAGAAAGATACAGGACTGGTGGGCTTTAGCTGTGGCAGGGGAGGATGAGAATGGCATGTTACCTGGGTTTGACAATAGATTGAGATCAGGAACCTCGGTGATAAATTTTCTGTCCTGAAGGAATATGTAGACTATCTCATTTTCTTGCACTGACTGGAAACCAGGAGGTACCAGACTGCTGCCCCTCCCTCCCTCCCAGGGTGATGGGAGGAAAGTGATGTGACTGATCTGATGTGGAAGGACCTCATAGAAAGGGTCTGGTCCAGCCTCAGCCACCACCACCACCACCGCACCTCAGCATCAGCAGTCAGATCCAGCCCACCACCCACACTGCCCAGCAGATTTCTGGAGTGACCTTTGCACCTGCCAAAAAGACTGCATGAGAAGGGAAAGAGTGGAGGAGATCTGCATAGTAGGGACCTACTGATGCTGAACAATGCAATGTCATGCAAAGATACTTAACGTAGCTGTATTCCTTCTGAGACCAAAGCATTTATCTCTAGGTGGCACCTCAATAGGTCAGTCAGAGGTACTCATAATTTAGACATGACCTGGGTATCATGATGGCTTACATCATGACTGCAAACATACCCTATATCGTTTTCAGCCTTTTTTTTAAGGAGTCGCATACTTTCCCATATAGCACTGCTATAGCAATTTTCATTTACAACCCGGTAAAATCTAGGCTCAGCTTTGGCACTTATTTTATTACCTCTATTTTCCCTGTTCTGCCTGCTTGCTCGCATAAGCAGAAAGGTGCACAGGTTTAAGTTTTTCTCTTCTTTCAGCAACAATTTTCTGATACATTAAAGGAGCTCAGCTGAGAAATGCTGACCTAAATCTAAACAAAACAGGCATAGACCTTTCAAAACTACTGAATATTCAAGGCCTCTCTTTTCTTTAAATCTACCAAAGCTCTCAAGTGGACTTCAATGACATTGAATTTTGTTTAAAAAATAGTAATTAAACATTCAAATAACTTCAAGCAGCAAAACTGTAAGCCCCATTAAAAGCTTTCAGAAAAAAAAAAGACCTAATTACTTGTATTAAAATCTGCTTTAAAAAAGCTGTTCATAGGTATTTTAGTTCAGAAAGAGGGTTGATCATCTGGGTTTTTTTATGTCTGAGTCATCAAA